GGAGGATGACGATAAGGGGCTGCTGCGGTTGTTGAGATCTTAGCTGTGTGAGATGGCACAGTCTGCCAGTCCAGATAGCCCTCTCGCTGTGCTTTGTATCTCTGTTAAAAATCAGCTTTCAGTTGTAGACGCGTGTATTGTTGTGGGAACACTACTGCTCTGCAGGTGACGAGGTCTAATGTATTTTGCCACTTGTTACTAACTTGTTACTATTATTTACTGTCCATTCGCAGAAAGAACAGTACTACTCTGAGCAACACTCTTCGTTGATTAACAAGGCCTACCAAACCCTCCTGAACCCTTTGAGCCGTGGCCTCTATCTAGTAAGGCGTCCATTATGTACTTTATCAGTACTCCTGCAACTAATCATAGGTGGCTGGGACTGCTGGTGGTAATGTAATGAATCAGACCTTTAACTCCATCGTTAATGTGATAATTTGTGTTCCTCTGAAGAAGAGCATTACCAGGGGTTGAAGGGAGACCGAAAACAAGCTTGTCTGAAAATTAATCGTCTTTTCCATTATCTTCTTTAACATTTTACTGATAATTACCACCTCATTTGCTGTTACACTAATTTGTTTGCTGCATCACACAGTGTGTTTGGCCATGGGTGTTCCTTTGAAATTTCAGCCTGGCTGAAATTTGCTTTGGTTAACTGCTGATTTTTGTGGGCTACCTATAGAGTTAATTTTAAGACTGACTCTGTTTACGCATGTTTCATGGAATAAACCGGAAGTTTATCAGATATGAATCTGAGTGAGCCCTAGTAGAAGGCTTAATATTCAAGAAAATAATTCACATTGAAATAGATGTAAGCATGCGTATTTCCAAATTCCCGTTTTCTTCACCAGCTGGAGCTGAATGGAGTAGAGCCGGCACAAGAGACAGACTGTGATGCAGACTCGGAGTTTCTCACAGAAATCATGGAAATTAATGAGAAATTAGCAGAGCCTAAAAATGAGGATATCCTTGAAGAAATTGAAACTGTAATTAAAGGTAGGTTATGATTTGAGGCTTTTGTACAGAACTAATTTACTGTATCTTGTATAACACGAGAGTCTCTCTGAATGCTTTTTCAGTGTATTTCTTTTAGTATCTTTAACTTTCATTAGTCTTCAATTGACTCGCTGCAAGACCTTCCCCCCCCAAAAAACAATGTTGTCTTTACCAATTTATGCCACTTAAACATCCAGTCTGGCTTGAGAAAATCTGTATAACAGTACCTATTCTGATGGCAAAATAGGTATATGCATTGAATATAAAAAGGAACTGCTTATTCAGCCTTCAGCAGATCAGGGCAAGCAGACTGTCCTAAAAGGAAGAACCACTCAAAATGAAGTTTAATAAAATGCTTGACTGACCACATTAAATAATTTATTCATTTATACAGTAGTTGTATTTCTTTCACCTTCTTCAACTTAGCAACCATTATATTAAGTGGTTATTATCCTTATACAAGCAACTTTCTAGTTTATATGGTTGGTGATACCCAAAACATTGAGTTTATTGGTATATTTAATTCTTTGCAATAACAGTTGTGTGCCAAAAGCAATTAGAATAACTAGAATAAAAACTAAGTAGAACAGAAGAAAATTAAGTGTAGCAGGGTAAACTGATACACCAAAAGTAAGTTAGATTTCTGGAAAGTTAGTGACCATTGATGTGCATTGGAATTGCTGTCTGTAAACCTGTTTAAACAAAGAAATACATCTGTTTGAAATTATAATATAAAAAAAAATTGACAGCAATATTATGGAAAGCTCTCTTGGCTTCCAAAAGACTGTGAGACTAGTAATTATGTTTCCCACCACAGACAATCAGAATGCAGTGGCATTAAATATACTAAGTACGTAACAAAATGTGAATAAAACAATTTCTTTTACAGTTAAACAAGAAGAACTGACCAAAGAGGTGACTGCAGCTTTTGAAAGAGGTAGCTATTTCTATGAAGTATTCAGCTGCCATACATATCAGTTATAAATGCTTAAAAAATACACATTCTCTTATTGGCATACATTTCCTGAACTACAGAACAGAAATACTGCATAAACAAGTGTTCTTTGTTGGGTATTTAGAATAAATACTTCTAAGTTGACCTTTCTGCTGATTCAGGAAATGCAGGACCTCACATTAAATTTAAAAAAAAAAAAAATCCAATACAAAATTTCCAGTTAATTCAATTTGCATCGAAATGATCACTTCAAGTGAGAATGCAGATGCTAAGAATTTTTTGTTTGTTTGTTTCCCAGAATACTGGGAAGGACAGACTCTTTTCTTAATCAAACTTACCACCTAGTCTGAGGTTTCAAACTTGAATTTGGGTGATCCTGCTCTGCAGACTTGAAGCTGTCAGCAGAGTAGCAGGTGCTGTTCTTTGCACCAAATGTCAAGACAGGAACAATTCTGCTGCTTACCACTGAAGCTGTACAGCAAGAAAAGACCCGATGCCCCATTTAGCCTCAGGTTTTAGGGACTTCCTGTGTAATAATCAACATAACGTTATTCCACAACCAGTTGATAGGCAGGAGCTTGAACCATTCCAGTCTACCTGCTTACTCTGGAAAGAAACCTTTACATTTCTCTCCTGGGTCTTGGAATGCTTTTATTGTTGGCTTTATGTAGTAGCATGTTGTAACTGTAAAACATCAAACACAAAGTAGTGCTGGCTAGGCCTGCATGTGAAGAATTATAACCTTAGAATCTGTCACTCTTTGTACTACGAGAGTTAAGGATTGTGTTGCTCTGTCCCTGTCAGTAGGTGATAAACCACCTTTCCCCTCCGATTATTTAATTAAGGAGAAACTGTTTCAACTTAAATTTTGGAACTGACACTATCCGTACCAGAGTCCTACAAATGTTTTGCATTTTTCAGTGATGGCAGTTGGTCTAATTATATACGTGTTTAAGAAAAAGCTTGTCTTGTCTGTATGCTTACAAGTCCCCAGTGGCTACATGAATACTATATCCGCTTCACAGAAAAGTCATTAAAGGGTATTCATGTCACATTTCTTTTTCTAAATTGTACACTTTTACATGTTTTGTGGAACACCTCAGTTGAGGTGTTCCAAAACCATCCACAATGAAAATAATAGGTAACATAGTTTTAACAGTGTATGGGTCCTTACAACTTGCAGTTCTTAGTACTGAAACGGGTGCTGTCATTGAAATCTTGAGATTCATTTTGAAAATGAAAATCCAGCCCTCTCTCTGTGAACTAGTAATGTTTTATTTCATTTCAGATGATCTTCAAGAAGCTAAGAAGCTTCTAGCCAAAATGAAATATTTTGCAAACTTAGAGGATAAACTAAAGAACAAGAAGATCCCTTCCTGATACTGCCTCCTTTACTGTTAAGAGTTAATGTTATTTTCAATTAAACAGCTGATTTAGTTACCTAAATCAGAAAAATGGTGTTTGCTTCCTACATTTTCATTAAAAGCTTTAATTCTGAAAGAAGGAAGATAAACGTAAAAGAAATCCAGTGCTTACTGTAGCCCTTAATAACATGGAATCGGGAAATGCTTACAACAAGGACAAGATGTAATAGGTAAGGTAGGACTACTGGCCTAGCAGTTGCAGGTATGGAAAGGAGTATCAAGAGAGGCACACAAACACCGTATGTAATTAAGATTTCTCACTTTATGCCTACCAAAATGTGAAGAATTTAAGTTGAGAAAGAGTTCTGGACGAAATGGTGGAGATTAAGCAGAAAGCTCATTCAATAGGTCCTTCAAGTCCTCTGTAGTCTCCTTGTGTGTGTTCTATCAGACCATCTTGAAAAATCTTTAAAGGTGAAATGTATTTAATTCCTATCATCAAAAGCACTACTTAGTACTTTTTGTGATGTTGATCTCAGTCTACCAGGAACTGACCTTCAAAACTAGAAGAGGTTTTACCCCATTGCACGGTTTAAAATGTTAAGAAGCCGGGTTAGGGAAAAAAAATAAACCCAAACTCAAACCCCAGAAACTGTTTTATTAGTACTCTTTTAGGAAACAAGTCTTTCTAATAAACTTTATTACAAATAACAGTGATTCAGACAGGTGCTGTACTGTCTTTGTACAGTTACAGTTGTAGGACTAGATGAGGAATGTCCTTAAATCTTTCAAAGAAGTTATTTAAGTAAAAAAGGGCAACTAAATACCCCTATTTATATATGGACTAGAATATTTCAAATATCCATTTCTCAGTAAAGCAATAACATATGCTTGATTACCTGAATCCAAAGAAGGGGCTTAGAAATAAGAGCCACTGAATTATCTGAAGAAATCTGCCAGGGGGGAGGAATTCATTGAACACCCTCTCCTGGCATTTCTGCGTCCCTACAACATCAAGTTGTATCTAAACATCAAATCTTCTATATATAATATAATATATATAATATAA